CTTTCTCTCTTTCTTTCTATCATTTATCAAAAATCGAAATAAAATAATTTTTTACTCCTTGAAATAGACGGCAACGCACGCTTACGGCGATTAAATACCTTAACGTGATAATTTTTTTTTCTCTTCTTTTCTTTTCTTTTTTTTTATACAGGCTTGAACGTTCTCGATCATGGACTATTTTTCTTCTCCATTCAATTATCGATTATCGTTCGCCGAATCACAAAAAGCTTACGTACTTAACAACGGGAATAATCGTTTTCTTCTTCTCGTTCTTGTTTATCTTCTTCATCCCGTTTCTCTTATGCTTGTTAATAGCATTGTTATTTTGTTTTTGTTGTTGTTGATTGTGCTGTTGTACTCAGATCGTCGAAATCGAAGCCTACAAAGAGAGATGATACAACCCTCGACGTATGTAGTATTTTAGCGTACGTAAATTTATCGTTATCTCACTTGTCTCTTACGTTTTAACGGATAAACTATTATGTGTATATATGTATGTATGTATGTATGTACGTATGTATGTATGTATGTATGTATGTATGTATGTATGTACGTATGTATGTATAATTATATTTTCGTTTTTTTTTCGCTTGTCATTGTGATTTGTTCACTGTAAATCCCGGTTATGTGAGGTGATATTATTGAGGACGTTAAAGAGAAAATGAAAAATGGACCGATTAACGACAATGACGACGACGACGACGACGACGACGACGACGACGACGACGACGACGACGACGATAATAACGATAACGATAACGATAACGATAACGACGACGACGACGACGATGACGACGATGACGACGATGACGACGACGACGACGACGACGACGACGACGACGATAAGAAAAAGACGAGTTCTTCATAATCCTTTTCATTGATTCGATCTTTATATGATTATTTAAGACATCGAGGAACAGGGTAAACGTGGCGAACCCATTTGCGTGAGTACCCTGTCGAGCCATTGCAACGGACCATTAAGATGCAACTCGATCCAACATGGCGTCGATGTTACTGTCTGTCTTCGATATTCCGCTCCCCAGCCCTTAACGAAACTCATTCTGATCGTACACATACGCGTCAGCTGATAAACCGCTTCGAAACCTTGCGACACCGATTGCGACAACAATGCCGCAAATTCTTGATTATTGAAGATCTTCAGATTACAGCCTGTAATTAATAAACGAGAAACGTTTTCTTTTTTTTTTCTTTGTTCTCTTTGTTTTCTTTTTTTTTTTTTTATTGATCGATCCATCCGAATATAATTCGATTGAGAATCAACTTACCAGGTGGTATTTTGCAAACGGTAGCTGGATGCCAACCGTAACGTTGATTGCAATTTGGACTTTGCACGAAGATGCTCGAATCGGAGAGACACTCCGCAAAGACCTCGCCGCCAATATAATAGAGTCTGACGCCTTTACCGATATGCCGTCTGGTCTGTTCCACCACGCTATTACGATTAACGTTCGAGAGCAAACCGAGACAAAAGCGTTCGGAATTACTTGGATCCGTGAAACCATCCACTGTGATACTTGGTTGTGAGGCATGAAACGTCTCCCCAACTCTTGTGTTTAGCTCGTAATAACTTATCGAACACCTAAATACAAAATCAAATATTTAATAATAATATTAATAATAATAATAATAATAATAATGACAATAATAATTATATAGTAATTGTTGGTGATAAATTAAATGAAACGAATTTTCAATAGTCATCAAATTCGTTTTTATTTCTTCGAAATTAACTTTCAATATAGTTCTTTTTTTTTTCTTTTTTTTTTTTTTTACACCGAACATTTTCAATGAATTTTATTTTTAATAATATCTCAATACAAATATTTTCTAACGACGTTTTGATGTATTTTTACTCCGAATCCTTTCTAATGAATTTTCAGTAATTTTTAATTCCCAATATTTTCTAATTATTACCCAATATTTTCGATCTATTCTAAATAATTTCAAATATTTTTTTCCGCTCCGATCTTACTAATGAATTTTTTGTATTTTTAGCTTCGACGTTTTTCACTATATTACCTAAAAAAAATTCCAACGTTCAAATGATCAATTTGTTTGAATAATATCCAATTAAAAAAGAAAAAAAAAAGAAAAAAAAAGAAAAAGAAAAAGAAAAGAAAAAAAAAGTTCGGTAAAAAAAAAAGAAAGAAAGAAAAAAATATTCCAACGTTAATCATCGGCAATGAGCCAATAATAATTCGACAAAAATTTTTCTACAAGGATGAACGTCATTTTTACGAATGGAGATCCATGTGACCTATTAAATCTAATTGATCGTGCCTAGATCATAAAGCGAAAATATATCGTAGAGATTTACCAGAAGGCTGGCTCGCAGTACATTACGGGCTGGGCATCTACAGGACTGGGTGATAAGCGGGATAGAGACATATTATCGTTGTGATCCATGTTATCGCCGTCCTCGCTGATGTATCCGGGTGGTGGTGTATCAGCTGGAGGATCCATAGATCCCGACGTAGGA